CAAACCTGTTCTCCACCAGTTCTTAATGCGAGCAAATGATATGGATGCATCCTATCGTTCGTTTACTCGTTACTAATTACTCGTTTTTTACCACTTTTTGTCGCAGTACGCACTTCAGCAAGAAATGGCATGTGAGGCGGGCGGGGGGGGCGACACTCCACACATCTGTCGCTCACACCCCAACCGTCCGCAGCGAGCTAGGGTCGTTGGCGATACTCGCCGCACAAAAAATATTGACACCTAAAAGCAGCCTTACTGCTATTTTTCGCGTTATTCTGATCGCTCTGTTTGCTTAAAAATCTTATCATCCCAGAAGAAATTCTTTCACGGCAGATTAGGCATACTCAAGACAGCCGATCAAGGCAAAGGTGCTCTCTACCTACTGATGCTATTATACACCCAGAAAACAGGAAAAACGTTAGATTGCCAAGCCTGCGAGTTGTTAAATCCGCGGAGAGTGTGTTCTCGTGGTCTGACGTATACCAACATTCTTTCTCATTTTTTTTTTCTTTTCTTATTGACTTTAGCAAACTTTCCCCTCCTTTCCAAGAAATCCCACGTGAAGAGTGTGTCTCTTATATAACCAATTACTCGGAGTAATTTCAGCAGGGCAAAAGTGAAGAACAGTGTCAAACGCCACCTAATGAACATCATTCAGTATGCATGTGCCATTACCGCTTTCTGGTCCTGGACAAATCAGAACCAACGTAGCCGTCCTCGGAGCAGAATGGCAGATATTAGTTAAATGGAGGCTTGATTAATAGAGGATTTGATGCCGAAGCGTGCAGCACGTTTAGATGTCTTCATTATCCAAAACGACCCTCTCCACTCCCATGCTGCACAAGTCTATGAATCGAATTGCCTCACAAGCCTTAATGTCAAAAACGTGTTGGTAACTACATACTTGACCTGACTCAGAGGGTCTACTAAGCTTCAGGTGAAGCCGCTCCCCCATAGGCGATATACAGATGCGCAAACGGGATATCGCGAGACGCGCCAAGACGACCTTCGAAGGAAATGGCGTAAGTTGCATACTCCAAGGAAAAATGTACAGTTGCTGGCTGGTGTAAAACACAACGGCGCGTCGCATTTGTACTGCTTGGAGACAGAGTAATCACCGTTGATATGTGAAATGGCGGTGTAGGAGAGCCACCCCCCCCCCTTCGACGAGAGGGTGTCAGACGACCCCCAACCTAAATGGTGGTCTCGGTACGACCCCTCCCCTTTCCCTAAAACCTACCTACTAATTTCTCACATTTTCCAGTCTTTCGCCCAAAGATTTTTCCCGTCGAGCGGAGAGGGGGTGGTAAAATCACGCGAAAAGTCAACAATCGGGAGAATTTTTTTGCCAACACAGCAGATATCTCTTGAAAGCACACACGACCTCTCTCCCAACGACCAAATACGACCCCCCCCCCTCGTGTTTCACACATCGATGCTGTTCCCTGTTGGAAGAGTCAACTGTGTTTGATAGTGGTTGACCCCCGAGAACAATTTTTTGATTGGTCATTTTTTTTCCTTTCAGACGCACTTCCATCCTCCTCCCCCCTTCAGTACGACGTTTGCAAGGGAGTTCACGACGCGTGTTGTGAAAGGAGAAGACTGCGGGAGGAGGTTGTTGTCAGCAAACATTTCCTACAGTAAGGTGCTCTGTTCTGATCCCCAGAAGCTTGTCGAGACAGAACTTAACCCTAAAGGCAAAGCCCGTGACCAGGATTGCTGGTAACGGAGCTCAAATACGAATGAAAAAGTACTAGTAACTGATCGTTGGTGAAAAATTGCAGAAAAAAACAGTCCGAAGTGCTCTGAATAGGACTCCATGCTCACTCCCTGGTACGTGCATGAAGAGAAGCCGCGTCTGTACGAATTTTCACTAGTCCTTATCATAACGATGTCAGCTTTTTTTATCTTGTCACCTTGCTCTCACCATTCCGAATGGAGAGCGATAGGATAGTGGCTACTAGCTAGCGGCTACCAACCAGTGGGGGTCGGCATGGTCCTGAGAGGTGCCTAATTGGTCAGCTTCCAGCGGAGTTTTTGCCAGTTTTCACTTTTTAAAGGTAGCATAGCCTCCACACTGGACCATCTGGCACATTTGAGAGGTTATAGACTTATTTTATCGCGGAAAGTGCCTTTAGCTTCCATACCAAAGTGGTTCTTCGAATTCAGCAACCACTTAAACACTTCTTCAACTGACCTTATCTTGGAACAATTTTTGTTATATAATTAATTGAAACCGTTCAAGTAAAAAGCTCAGTAACCGTTTGCTTGCGAACAAGGTAACACTTCCATGCTGAATTCGGTCGCGCTTGTTTTTCTTATAACTGAATTTTTAGCCCAATCAGTTAAACGTTTATGTTTTCTTTCTTTTCCTCTTCCTTCCGCTATTTTTACAATGCCTCTTTTGAAGCACTTGACTCATGGGACCAATATTTCTACGATACTTGTTTCGTTTGCTAACATACGTCTAGTTTGTCGGTGTTTTTCTTTTCTTGGCTTTACTTTTCTTTTTTCACTTAATTTAATTCCATTTCTCTTCTTTTCTTCAGTAATTTGGACCAATCCATTTCAGTTTCATTTTTTCTTTGCATGTATATCGTTGCTCCGTGGGAATAGGCACGTAGTTACAGCAGCTGATAACGTCATTTGTAAGAAGTATCCGATGGATGATTAATCAAATAAGCACTTCATTCCAGCACTTTGTACCTGACAAATACCACAAATTCGCTTTCTAATCCGATCCCGTTGGTTTCGATGGGATCTGGAGACTGGGGATGCGAACGGTAGAGAAAAAGAATGAGTGCTGTGTTCCACTAATTTCTTTTCCAGTACGTGTCGCACGCAATCAGTAGGAATTCCTGAATGAGTCCGGTTCCGAGTCGAATAGCTAATCCTTCCAGAAAACAACATGTGTTAAGTAAACCATAATCCGTCCTCATCTATAATTGAGCTCAACCATTTTCAGAACGTTCCTTTTCTTTTGTTAGCCTTGGCTTGATGCCCATATATTGCCTTGAAATGAAAGCCTGTTATTCCCAAGCGAGAATCTATATAGAGAGAGGGAGCACTTTGTGAAATCTTGTCGACACATTGGGTGATTTCTAAAGTTCCACGAACCTTGTAGACTTACGAAACCTTACGGGAGTCACTTCTGGGCCATTTTCGCGAGGAGGAGGGTGCAATCGCCTTTGTGAAGAACCTCTTCGGTTGTTGAGTTTTCCGGGTCCTTCCTGATTCACGTGCGCTGTATACCCTCTCCTCTAGGCGACCGTTTTCGATGGCAACTGGAGAATTGTAGGAGACACAACTCCGGGTAATGACAGGAAATTGGATAAAATGAGGGAGATGGGAGGTAGAACGGGAAGGCATAGGCGTCGTACTATAAAAGGTTTTATTCAAGGGAGGGGTAGTATTTGCAAAATTTTCCCCACAGCAGGACGTGCCCTAAGGACGGCGTTTGCCTCTGAAACTTGTGGACCAAAGGGAGCACTATTCTTACCTAGGTCTAAGGGGAAAAAGCCAGAATGAGTGTACCAATCCCTTCGAGAACAATGGTTCCTTCTGAAAGTTGTTAACCTGCCCAGTTCACCTAACCCAGAGCCATTATTCGCACCGTCCCCACCTTCCCCATATCATTTTGCTTGATTTCCATATGATGTAAAGTTCTCTATGGACGGTTGAGCGTGCCAGGCGGAATGAGTTTGGCGCAGTGCCAAACTCGTTCTCCACCAGTTTGGCACGGTGCCAAACCCGTTGTTAAAGCGAACAAGTGATATGACTGTATCATATCGTTCGCATTACTCGATTTCTACCACTTTTTGTCGCATGCGCGCTTCAACAAGGAGGCAGAGAACGGCTTTGACGGCGTGACAGACTAAGTGCCTGACACGCCCCACCGTCCGCAGCGCTACATATAATGACCTCACTACTGTGCTACACCAGTTCCCACTATGTAACAGTTGACCGGGAGTTGCACCACACCCGATGAACGATCATGGATAACTTTGACGCAACGAGAAATGTCCCAATTACAATGAACTTCAGCGGTCGACGTCAGCATGAAAAATGAAATTGGAACCGTTTTACGGCTTCACAGGGGTTACAGAACCTTAGAATTTTGCCGGTATGTTGACAGGAGTGTAGAAAATGCACCCCCGCCCCCGCCGAAGCGGACCAACCCTTTTTCATGTATATACCTGGTCTGAAAATGGAACATGTGAAAGGAATGGAAACGCTGAACAGATAGCCAGCGGTAAATATCTCGGACCCAGCTGGGCTTGCACGTCTGTGCAAACATTGAGACGCCACTGCAATTCCTAAAGTCACGGGAATCAACAGCCAAACAACAAACGAACAAATATTCAAGGCGAACAGCGAAGTGTTGCTCTGTGCCACCTCTCAAGCCGCATCTCCCAAGTGCCCGGTAAATCACCCCTCAACTTCATAAGTTGACCTCCTTTGCGTGAACGGCCGTGAACCTTCCAGTGTCAGCGACTGATTTGTCGCTGTATGAATGAGGTAATACTTGTGATGAGCGACCGATCATTGAACACGATAAAATGTTTATATTTTTATTATTTTTCGGGCATTGTGACAAAACAACTCGTCTTGGACCAATGGTTAAACAAATAATAAACTATCACAACAAGCGCCATCATATAGCTACATGATTATGGAACACATCTGAAGAAATCCATCCAGCACACACATTTATGCGAGAACATATGGGGATGATGAGATGGAAGCTAAAAAGACAAGAAGGCATACCGCGTCCACTCAGAACAAAAACGAAAATTAAAGGACTCGGAAGCAACCGGTTTCACGCTGGCGGCGCGTATGTGCGCCGACAAAGAAGAATACGAACAAACATTGAAAAGAGCGCAAGGCACTCGGTAACCTGAGTTTGGCGGAGGTTCATATTTACATAGAGTATCTCACGGGGCAACACCCCGAACAAGGAAAGACAACGCAATTGAGAGAAAATGAGAGCAGCACAGGTGTTATTGCGGACGCATCGGGAACCCTTCTTGTTGTAACCGCCGCATCATATCGGAATTCGTCATAAGACCGTTTGCTTGGGAGGATGGAATCAGAGCCGGATGCAGACCCATATTGGGCGGTAAACCGGCGGTCATGGCTGTCGGTGCCTGCATTGGAGGTGGGCCCATTTGTGGCATGCTCATTTGATTTGCCATCATCATTTGCATCATAAGAGCCTGAATTTCCGGATTGGCGAGAGCCTGCTGATGGGCCATAGCGCCACTCATTGCACCAGCCATCTGCTGTGCCTGCATCATCTCCATTTGAAATCGTTGCATATCAGTCGGCTGTTGAGTCGGCAAGAACTGCAAGCCAGCCGCCGCTGCCATTCGTTGGTCCATGAACGACATCATTGGGATGCGACCAGCGGCTGTCAATTGTCGTTGCATTTCCAACTTCATCATCTAAAACACGACGATTTCACTCTTCGGGAAATGTCACTTGTTGCTCTCTCGAGGTCTTTCACAAAATGTATAAGAATCTTACATGCTGCTGCTGGGCTGCGGCATGTTGTTGAGCTTCTAATAACTGGGCTTGTTGCATTTGCTGCATCATAGCCATAGTCATCGGATCCATTCCATGGAACATAGGCATTTGACCATTCATAGCTGCTACTCGTGACAAATCCGCAATTCCACTGGGCATCATGCCGTTCATTTCGGCCTAAATTTGGATCATTAAGCATGCAACTATTGGAACGCTAGTCAAGGGTAATCGGCACCTTTTTCGGTTGTGTCGGGGTCGCAGGCTGTTGCTGCTGCGCGGCCGCCGCTGCTGCAGCCTTCTCTTTCTTCTCGCGTTTCCGCTTCGCCCATTCACAATCGCTCGGCATACGATATGACAGATCAGTGCGAGCACTCATCTGGCCGCACGAACGGACGATAGATTGCACAAATATCGCGTTTTTTGATGTACACGCCTCCTAGAATAATAAGTCTCACGTTTACCAATAGATCACCCTATAAAGAAAAGGCAAACGTACACAGAGGGGGGGGGGCAAAAAGACACTTTTTCTTCTTGACTTTGAAGCGAAATGAGTTGCACTTTATTAAATCACTGAAGGGGCCTGACATTTCCAGACTGAACATTTATACCACCAAATTCAACAACACATGTACGCGATTATGAAACTCCGCCACAGCCTTGTGGACGAGCGCCATCGAGAGATTCTGAAACGCAACCGTGAGTCGGTGGTTGAGTTTAGCGAGGTCTCTATGTCCCGCTACTGTAGAACTCCCTGTTGAGCTCCTCCCGAACCCGGTAATCGAAGGGGTTTAGGACAGGTGACACAATTAGATATTCCGTCTTCTTCAGATTCTCAACGCCCTAGCCGTTCCAAGTAGGCAAGAGTTTTTCCAACGCCCTCCGATTTCAGGTGGTGGCACCCAATCCTGTAGCAGTACAAAGTTTCCATGATGGCACAGGCGACAACATGAAGGCAGAATATTCTCCTCGCGCTGTCTGATGTGACAGTCAGCGTATGTACTTCCAATCCGGGCTCCACGAAGAAAATATCGGGCTTCTCGTTCCAGGAACTTCTGGTCCATACCATCAACCCACGCCTTGGCGACTGCGGTGAAGATGATATCCTGAACCGTAGCAACGTTGTGGGAGCTGCTCGATGTTGGAAGTCTTCCAGATCAAGTGTGTCGGCCCCCAGGTAGCTGTCCATGGGTGATTCCATACACGAAGTTTTGCAGCTGTTTGGAGGTCATGTGAATTCTTCAGTTCGGCTGCGACTGCAGATGGCTTCATATTTTAGTGTGCATGAAGGTGATGGACGAGAGCCTGCTCCTGCGTATCGAGGAACATCTTGGGTATCAACCGCTCTGATACTCGTATCCACGTCTCCTCTCCGGGCTGCGTATTATTTACTTATATGTGCTTCGAACAGTGTCTTTTTTGCCCCCCCCCCTGTACATGGCTGTTGCAAGGACAAAGAGGAGACCGTAAAAAGTACCTGATCACCGTGTTTCCACGTATTATCATCGTCGATGACGGTGGCAACGTTCTCATCGTTCTCGTCGAAATCGATGTCATCGAAAATTTTCTCCTCTTTTTTCGGTTCTGCGACACTTGCGATCTCTGGCTTGATATCTTCGACCATCATTGCGACTTGTTCGAGTTTTTCCAAGGGCTTCTCAGAATCAGGTTCTTGCTTCAACTCGGCAACTCGCTAAAAAAACAAAGCATTAAGCACCCTACATAAGGAACTATGCGCCTTCCACGTAAATCTATAAAAGGGGAAATTACATCGGAGTTAGCGATGACGGTATCCAGTCGCGAATTCTCATTTGAAACCGGACTGGCGGTAGATGCATCGGTTGTGTCGTTTTCCGTTTTCACGCAGCTGGCCGCTAGAGCTGCCTTGCTTTCTTCATTGAGAACTTCCTCCTTACCACTACTGCTGTCCTCATCAGCATCTTCCTTAAAATGGGTCCGATAAACAAATGGTTGAATGATAATTTCGCCAAAGTTCACAAACTGCACAAAACATACCCGCTTTTTCTTAGCACTGTTGTTATTCAGGGGTAGTCCACTGCCACTGTGCACGTGATTAGATCGTTTTCGCTTGCCATTTTTCGTTTTGCTTATGGGCACTTTGTCAAGGTCAAACTCGTGTATGGACGCCGCTTGACTGGGACTCCTTCGTTCTTCACCCATTGACGGAGTCCTTAAAATAGACCATCACATGTCAATAACACAAAGCTGTGCTGTGTAATGTCACAGCTGAGCTAGTGAAGGTTTATGGGGATATTTGTGGTGAAGTCTCACTCAGATGTCCAAGGAACTCGCTTTTAAAGGAATTGCTATATTTTTGCTTTTCGGCTATGGACAACCACAAAGCAAGTCAAAGAGCGAGCGCTTGAATTGACGACAACTAAGCACCGCCTCTTATGAAGAATGTCTTATGGGAAATACCGAGCCAATTTGAACAGAAAACAACCAACCTTCGCCGTTCTTTCTTTCCTGCCCTGGTTCTCACGCCGCTGTCCTCGTCAGCATCGGCGCTAGAAGGACTGCGCTTGAACAAGCACGGAGGCACGGTTGATGGGCGATCAACTGGTCTGAGTTGGCCATACTTCTTATAAAACAATCGGCAGTCAGAGCACAGCAGAAGACCGTCACGCCCTGCATGGTGCCAGTCTCGACTCTCTGGAAAGATCGTTAATCAAACGAGTTGAAAAGTATGGTCATTTGCAGCGTGGTAAGTATTAGGAGCCGCATTTTTCGACTGAGTCAAAAATCACTCACTGGAACCGTAGCAATGATGGCATGCGTACTGTGCTGCTTTCTCTGCGTCAAGAGTTTCCATTTCACCCTCACTTGCGGAAGCGTAATCTAGTAATTCGGTTGATGCGGGTCGAGATGTCTTAATTATATCGGATTAGGGCACCTGACATTTGGGAATAGAGCCATGAATGAATACCTTATTCTGAGTACTCTTCGAGGTCCTCTTAATTGACGTAACCTGATTGCGTTGACGAGAGAGCGGCTTTGGTTTGACAGCATCTGATGTTTTCTTCCACAGATAATAGAAACCGACCAACTGATCCTGGAAATAATTGCATGATTGAGAGCAGCAAAAACGATGTCTGCAATGTTCCGATGAGCGCTTACCCTGCTGTGCAACGGAAGCAGCTCGCGACTAATTCGCACGAAATTCTTTCCAATCGTTTTAATGCCTTTACAGAACTTCTTTGTATCCTCCACTGTCATGAAGTTTGCATCAGCAGACAGCAACTTATCGTTTGCATTCATTTCCTTGAGAGCTTCATCGAATTTATAGCCACAGCGATGCAACGTTGTGAGCGCATCGTCGAACAGCAGATCGCTTACCTCAAACGAATAAACACAGTCATCACACGCCAGTATATCATCAATGCTAATATCCTTGCGCGCGGAAATCAACACAACAGAAACATGCGGCGGCGGCGGCTACTGCACCTGGCATTCTACCGTATGACCGCAAGACAGGTGTCACGGCACTTCGGCAATACCGACTAATCTGGGATAATGTGCAATCAAACCCTATTTTATGATGCATTCACGAGAACGCATTTGAGAGAAACCCTCAACTGTATATATCAAAGGAATTCAAAGGCATCAGGCACGATAACTTGACACTCGGTCCAAAATGGTAGCAGGGGCGCTATATAATGGGAAAATGGCGAAAAATCGAAGTGAAACGGTCAAAAACCTCCTAAAAAGCCTTCGTTCTAGCAGGAATCAGGAAGCAATTTCGGACGAGCTCTCAACTGGCAGCGTGCCAGTAACCGCCATTGTAGATACGGCTGCGAGCATGTACTCTTATATCCATGCAGCACTTGGTAGGGCGCTATAGGGGTGGGCATGTTCCTTGGAGAAAAACACAGCGTCACGCAGCGCCTTCTCAAGGGCACCAAATTCTTTTCTGCTAGGAGGGTTGATTCTACACGTCTCGAGGATTTGTCGTGACACAAGCCTTTAGAAGACTACTCAGAAACTATCAAGAAAAACATCAAACCGCAACTCACTCTGGAATGCGCTTTCTCGGTATCCATCATTCTCGTCTCCATCATAGCGAACATTCGGAAACTTCGCGCAAGCTTAATATACTTGTCTTCTGTACTTGGATCGATCATACCGGGTCGATAGAGTAGCTCATCGCGATCGGGTTCATCTGCCACCGAGCACGACGCCTCAGCTGGCAGTTTAGCCTGAATATGACTGCATTTTGATAAGGTTAATCTCAGAGAATAGCCGATAAGACTCTATAACAACGAATGAGCTTATTATTTACAAAGCAGGGTATTTAAAATAAAAAGAAATAAGGAAACATAAGTATTTCAGATATGTATGGATGAGAACGCTTCAACTCTATACATCCTTCGCGAGTTGAACAATTACTTGGCCAACAAAGTACTTCGTCGTGACACTGCCCCTATCATCGGAAAAACTGCAAAGGGGTTCAGGTGACCGAAATAGGGCACATGATAAGCTAGCTTCAAAAACACAACTTTTACACTTCAACAAAGATTCAGTGCAAGATTCAAATGTCATCCAATTCAAGCGATTATATAGCAGTATTGACCGATTGTACTTATTTTTCTCTCAAATTATATTGAAAAGTCTAGACGGCGCTTTCAATGCAATTTGAATCAAATCGACTAGTTTCCCGTACTGGAAAGGCCTTTCATCACAGTGACTGACGTAACAAACATCTTCAATAGGATATTGAAATTCCACCACGCTTGAAGACGAGTAGGAGTACTTTTGTTTTGACAGAATAGGATATATTGCAAAATGAGCGCCGCCTCGTCGCTCGCATGACTTCTTCAACCATTGTTATCTCAGAAGTGCAAGCATGGATACTTTTTCCAAATAAAACGACAATAGAAAGGACATCATGAGACGGAACTCTGCGAATATTCGCTTCGAATAAAAATTAATGCTGTCGTAGCATTGACAATTTCTATAACACTGGGTTTTGGACTAGCCAAATCGCCTACAGCGCGCTTGAAAGGATTAGGGACCGAATAAGGGTGGTAAGTCGCAAATCTTGAAACAGGTCAGAGCCATTATCTCAAAAGTAAAGAGAAATTGCCAATGTTCTAGAAATGCAACAGCTGAGCTGAACTGCACTAGACAGCGCTCAATATAACTATTACATAGCAATCAACAAAATAACAAGTGCTTTTGGTCGGATAAATCGACTAAAGCAAAGCCTCGAAAGTTGACAGCTCCAAATTACAGGGATCATAGCCCTTGGTATTCGATTAGGCAGTTTTTTTATTCATATGTAGTCAAGCAATTAAAAGGTCAATACGCATCCCCCTCATCCACTCAGGCTGCAATTGAGAGCGAACAACAGCAATCGATGCCCACCAACAGTGAGCGAAAAGAACCCGAAAACGCCTGCTCGCCGAAGAGGAACAGAGATGAACAGCATTGACTTGGAGAAGGAACCTTCAGACGCTGGCCACTTATGTTGCGCGGTTTCCGTAGTAAAACAACTAATTCCAACCACAAACAGTAGTTCGCTAGGCCACTTATGCCATAAATTTCATCACAAAACGATCTTCTTATCCATTTAAAATGAAATCGGGCGCTTAAGATCTTGAACGAATCATAAACAGCAACGCCCGACGCGCCAAGGTCTTAAAGTCGCATTAAACGATAAAAGAGCTGCAGATGGGCATGGATTAAGACCTTCACAAAGAAGTACAGAAACTATAGGCAAAAACAATGCTAAATCGACGCCGAAAGGAAATCAAAAGCGAAAATGTGATATTGTAAGGTGTGAAACGACTGAAATTTTTATAGAACTTGTATTCATGTTCTCAGGGGACATCAATTCGGGTGGAAGGTAAAAAAAAGTTAGATGATCGTTAGAAGAGACTAAAATTGGAGCCCTGGTAGATTTTTAATGCAAAAAAGGGCGCAGTTTGGCGATAAGGGGTAGGTATTTTGCACTTCCCCTGCTTCATAAGTTCCGGTTTGCAGGTTCCACTCAGGTGAAACTTGTGAACTACCATGAACCTGGAGCAAGCTCGTCGAGCCACCATGGAAAAACTGTCAGCTCTTATAGGCTCACGAAATGGTTCTCTAGAAAGGTCGACACGTCGACGGAAAGTACCAAAAGTGCAAAATGCCCCCCTACCGTCGCCGAATTGCCCCCAAAAAAGCATAAACACAACAAAATGAAGTTTGAATAAAGAAAAGCTGGTTGACATATGAAAACGAAACGATTCAATGTTACTAACCTGATAAGAGGCTCCTACGCGAATTTCTCCTTGAACAGACGCCAGCCTTGATGATTCTTGATTGTAGGACAGACAAGAGAAGAACGTATTCTCCTTACTCAGGTCACAATCACCAAGACTTCGAATGTCTTTGACGAAAGTAATTGAGCACTTCCCTCTGAAACAGATCTCGATCAGTGATTTACCTCGTTGGATAAGAAAGAATGAGTAGAAACGAGTGGATGAGGGTCAGGGGTTGCAAGCGGTAGCCCGGCTGGTGCGTTCCGACGGCGGCCGATCAATACGCGGCAGACAACTCTTGTAGAAAACCACGCCCATGCGATGACTGGACATTGAGGAATAACGTGGAGGCCAGGCAGTGCTGCAATGCACTTGATAAAACAAAACTGAAGTGCTTTGGAGCAGAATTCGCAATCTGCGCCACACTTTCGCTTCAGTGATAGCGGAAAACGGGTAGGATTAATGGGCATTTTATTGCCCTAATGATAATTCGCATAAATAGACAATTTTGTAACGCATGGAGAAGGAAACCATGACTGTCGTTGTAAAACGATGTCTAGCAAACCCGTTAAACAGCAAAGGTACACAACTGGACTATTCCTACGCCACTCTTTCGAAATCAAGCCAGTTTTTTTACCGTCTTTTTCTACCAAAACAGTTTTTGCTGAAAATTTGATTCTAGGGGTAGTTTGACGTCCTGAACACGAATACCACACCCACCTGGCCGGAACTACCTGGTGCCCGCGCCAAAACAGCCATGGTCAGTAAATTCGCTGAAAACTGACACTGCCCCCTCGGGTAGCTGGACCTCTCGAACATTAATATGACATCCGCTTCGCCTGAAACTGCCAGTCGCTATAAGCGCCAGTGTCAAAATACCTTGAATAACTAGTGCCTCGCAAAACTTATCCCAGCGGGTAGTTTGAACTCCTGAACATGAATATCCCATTCACTCAGCCCGAAGCCGTCACAAGCCGTTGACTAAACACCCCAAAACGTCAGATTCGCTGGAAATTCATTCCCTGGGGTGGTCTGAACCCGTATACCACATCTGTATACAGTGCCAGTGGGTTTGGTGTGGAGGTAAGGGGATACATGTGACAGTGCAGGTCACAGTTAGTGCCATATTCGTGGACAACGCTCCGAGTTACCCCTACGAAAAGTTGCAACAAAAAAAATATTTTTAGGGTAGGAGTAGTTCAATAGTGCCCAGCCAATAGGTACAGGATCAGAGTCGGCGCGATGAAATGAAACGATTCGCGCATGCGCCCTGCTGCTACTGCTGTTAGGTCGCTGACTCACATACAGAAATTGAGGCTGTATACAACTACTACCACCCCGATCTTCCGAAAACAGGCCAGTTTTTTACCGGTTTCTTTCTACAGGGGTAGATTTGGCTGAAAATTTGGTTCCAGGGGTAGTTCGACCTTCTGAACACGAATATCACACCCGCTTGGCCTGAAGCTGCCTGACACGCGCCCTTGATCACCAAAATCAATGGGAACTTGCATGGGAGTATAATTTAACTCTTGGTTACTAATCTGAAATTCATCCCGCTCTAATGGAACATAATGCGATTATCTGCGCTCTGCTAGGGCTGAGCCTGGCCTGAAATAAATCACTCCTTCTCCCATGCTCGGCCTTAGCAGAGCGCTAAATGGTGCTGGTGTCAAAAATGAATGTCATGCTCGTGATCAGAGCATCAAACAACCGGTACAGGCAAGGTTTCAGCGAAATTCTTCTTTGGAGTTTTCGGGCGAGTGGTACTCGAATAGTGCCGAAATTTAGCATTGATAAAAAAAACTCAAATCCGAAGATTACCGAACAGTTACCTCATTGATACCTCATACCAAAAGAATAGATGTTCATACAACCAAGGGTACCAAAAGAATAGGTAATTATACGGCTAAGGGTTGACTGTGCGCTGTTAATGTTTGGTTTGCACAGACAAACAAACGACCGCCTCAGCGACATTAAAGTGTGAGATAGTTAAGAGGATTTGATTAAGCATGAAGTGATGTGAAAATCGTTTTCAGGACGTCATTCGAGCATGTCCCCGAATAATATAGCGCAGGATGACGGAAATTTGAGCGAAATATGATTACGGGCTGGCCGCATCGCAACATGATTATCTACTTTGTTGAGTGCGTTTGAAACGCACACGGATATTCTGTGATAGAGAAAAGAGTGAGAGGAATGGACGATTTGTAAACATCGAGTACTCACGGGTGTTAGGCTGCAGTTTCGTCAATCAGACAAGAAACAGAAACCACAAAAAGAAAAAAGACTGCTCAAAAAAACGCCTACAACATTGCATTCTATAGCCTGATATGTCAACAGCAATTAAAGACCAAATCGTGCAGTGCAATTTAGCTTCTAATATGCTTGAAAGCAGTGCAAGCGGCGGTGTCTCCTAGTGACCACCCGCGACGATTAATTGACGCAGCGCTCGCTGACACTATCGATCATAGCATGAAATGATTCAGCGGAAATGATCCTCAACAAAACAGTTGTTACATTCTAATGGTTCATGTCGCCTTTGAGATAAGCGGGCTCAGCCAGTCTACAACCGTAGTGCCAGCTGCAGCGACGCGATTCAAATGCCACTCATTTCGCATTCACGTGTACTTCTTCAAAAACACAAAAGAATTTTATAAACTATTATGCAAATTGCAAGCTAATGCCACGCAGCAACGTTAAAGATCTGCAGTCACAATGAAATCAAACACAAAACCACTCATAGACAAGGCATCATAGCGCTTCACACATCAGGGTTCATAGACAGCGATTGTACGCGCTATGAGGAGTGAGAAAAGAAGTGAGAACGCGAGGGCAATACATCAAAGAACGCCCATTAGGGTCGAATGAGGGGAATCGGCTAAATTGCGTACGACATCCCGCGCTAGAACGACAAGGGTAGGGAACAATCGAAGCGAAAAACTGAAATCACTCACCTTAAACTGGAAATAGAGTGGAAGGCAGTGGTTTCCGAGGTGAACAAGCTCTCGTGAAAGGACCTCTGGACTCGGCTCAACAGGGAAATTCATCTCTAATCGCTCCTGCGAAATGAGACTAAGCGACACTTCCGGCACGTCCTCAGGCCGGTAAAACCGCGACACTTTCACTGACAGCATATCTCGTTTTGTCTGAAAATAGCTATTTCAATCAAAAGCTGGCAAGTTTTCTGTTCAGCTTTTAGCATGCAAATCTAATCATAAAGATTATTAATTCATTTATTTACTGCACCCTGGGTGCGCTGCAGCTGAAAGGGGAGAGAAACATTGTAGTAGCAACTAAGATCAAACCGTATTATCATGAGCATATAAAAGAAAAAAAACACAGATTATGAAAAACGATCTTGCTATCATGTCATTATATGTTATCATGTCGTTATATTTGTGTATTTCTGTGTCATGTATTGTATGATTACATATTGATATGAAGCTCAGTTCGGTTTCTTTAATTATGCGTCAGCCGGAGTCGATTGATCATGGCAGCTCACCTACAGCGATCTGCAAGTCGATCTGGCGGGAAGGGCGCCCATGAAAAGGCGCGCGGGCAACGAAGAGTTAGTACTTCACCTGCTCAATCAAGCACTTATCATATAACTCACTGAAGTGCTGGAACTTCTTATGAACGGTTCAAAAGCCTCGCAGTTTTCCTCTTCTATAAGCTCGAGCCAATCAATCGTCTCAAGTTGGGTGCCGATAATTAATTTTCAAGTTAACTACGTGGCTGGATTTCAGTGATCCAAAAGGGCAAGCGATCGACATTTTCGCAGGACGATATGTAGTATATAACACGGTAAATCCCTGAGCCGAGCGAGCGAGCTCGTTAGAACGTCTTTGGGCGCTGCGCTTTCTTTGCGACAGAATCCAGTTCCTGCGTTCATTGCTGCATGTTGCTTTCGTTTTCGTCATACATCGATCTGATGTCACGCATCGTAGTGGACGTAGCGAAGAATATGCGCGAGGTGGCGCCAAAGAGCGCCGGCCGGCTGTCTCCTAATTGCATAGCGCGCCATTTGGCACGTCAAACGGCGCCCCGTGCCTAATCATCCGGCGATTTGAGTACGTTCGACGGATACTGGTCAATATGCAAATATCCGCATGACATATCCGAAACCAACGCTTAGCTAATTACACATCAAGTTAATGATATCTGGACAACGAAACATCTTCACTTCCAGGAAGTGTATGTCCCAACTGAAACTAAAATTCTCCAATTAGGGACAAATATCTTGGGTATCAATCTTTATTATGAAGTCTAACTCCCCCATGGTCGTTGAGAACCCACCAATACACGCATCTATTGTCAACATTTGTCTGTTTGCCAACCTGCTCCGTTAAATACACAAGTCGCTAAGTTACTAAAACCTCATAGCCACATAAGAACTGCAGAATCTGGTGACCATTCAACGACCGCCAGCCACATCACACCCATGTGCACAGATGTTGAGGCATAGTTGTTTTATGAGCCGTTGGGATGGCAGGATGGCGGTCGGGGACACAACGAATGTTTACGAGGGCCAAGAACATTAGGCCAGCACTTCAGTGCTCGATAGGAACTGTTTGAATTGATGTCGTAATTAAGAACAGGTTTCCACTTGCAATATTGATATTACGAAAAAAATACACGAAAAAATTTGCAAATATGTTACAAAAAATATGAAGGTGGAAGCCCGTTAAGGGCTGGATTCCTCACTGTCATAGATTTGTTGGAAATAAGAACAAGGTTTCCGCAGCGAGGTCCAATAAACTAGTAATTCAGGGTACTCCAGCACATCTTCACTGACATGAGAGAAAAACTACCAATATACCACTCGGAATCAATTTACAATAACAGATTGGTCTTTTGAAGCACCAAACATCGCGCAATATCGAACTGGAATTGCTACCACAACGCATAACAGTACGGCGGAACATGAAAGTGGTTCACTTTTTTGTATATAATCTATTGCGCGCAACGTTATTCTTCTACTGCGACTACTGACCATAATACGAAACACAGGAGAACTCTCCGATCAGATTGTCCTAGAGACAGCGAAAGAAAGTCAGAAACGCCAAAATAAGAGGAGTAGCCGGTTAATACTCTTAAAAAGTACAGTCCAACAGCGCCTGCAATCGAAATAATCGATTTAAGCGGTGCGCTGGACACCGAAAGTGATAATGCAGTAAGTATATCTCGGAAGGTACCGTAAACAACAAATGTACCATGATTAAAGATGGAGTGGAGGTGATTGGCCAAGATCAATCGAACCATTCATTCATTTGGGTAGCTCTACTTATATTGAAAGATTTTGAGAGAAGGTGCTTCGACCCTGGTTTCCCCTAAGAAATCGTGGAACCACATAGGAGCAAGTGCTTTTGCTCTCACGTTCCGAAAAACAGTTGAGTGCATGTGGCATATTCCAAACAGCGCTTGGTCGACGGACAGGGGGGGGGGGGGATCGGCTGCGTTCACTAGTTCCATTTGCAAGCCTCACCCGTGGTGAGACCTGTGAACTCTTGTAAAGCCCGAGCGAGTTCTTCGAACCACTACGGTAAAACCTGTGAACTCTTGTGAGACATGAAATGGCCCTCTAGGTGGTTCGACATGTCGACCGGAAGTAGCAAAAGTACAAAATGCCTTCCCCCATTGCCGAAGTGGCCCCAGAGACTTCATCAATTTCGAGCACTTCTTCATTTTTTTTGTTCGAAAAACATTAACGTTGAGCTGAGGAAAGCGTAACGAACATCGCAAGTAATCATTTGTTACACTTCCACGTCACCTCTATCAAAGTCGCAAGTAGGACGCGCGTGGTATTTTATACAAAAACACTGCACTCGAACGTTTTCCAGTGTAAGTTATTCAGTGCAGGGCTTGCAAAACATTAAACCGTCAAAGAGTTGAAAACCGATTATGTCGAAAATGAACTTGAAAAAACCACAATCATTCTGTGGAAAATGAGCAGGGAGTCATTGGAAACACTTTTCACTCTTTGACTGGTTCAATACTTTTCGCTTGGTTGTTTTCTTTAGTGGCTGTGAAGTGAGCCACTTGAATTGTTTTTCCTAACATCATTTCCTCTTTTAGCTGCGGTAACCGTGGCACTACTGAATGGTTTTTCCCAAGCTTGCACTTTTACACGCACTATCAGGAAGCCGTGTCGCGTTCAAAAGCGTGACAAACACAGACTTGGTTCTAGACCCGTAGAGAATTCATAGATAACATACTCGAACCGGCTAGCACAACGATAACATGAAGCTGCCACTGCGGAACTTTAACGCAGAGATATCAATGTGAGATAAGCATTGAAGAAAGGACCAAATAAATGCAAAAAATTACCATTTTAAACATTGTAATTGATCCGACTAGATAGGGATCGGACGGTGTCGCTTCTATATAAACGGTGTCACCAGGCTTATACACTATGCCATCGTGCGCTTCAAAGCAGCAAATTTCGCCGTCTGTGCGTTTGCGATACGCCTGAAATCAAATAATCTTTATTCAAGGCCTCCAGTCTGCACCACAACGATTCTGAAGCACTTTGTATTATGCTTCAACACTTTGAGAAATGAAAGCAGACAACAGTCTTCGATGTTCCCTCAGCAACAAAAGGGCGACTTTGGGGAAGGTGGAGGGGGGGCATCTAGTGAAGGGACATCTAGTCAACTTCTATCAGCAGGCCGAGCCATTTTGTAGAAGCTCAGAGTTACGAAATGGTAGCGGCTCCACTTTCCCGCTATTTAGTGATTTTTTGTGTTAGATGAAATTTAGTGCGGTAAAGTAAGGAGAAACAGAGCTAAAGTAGTTGAAGACAAAAAATGCCCTTCCTCTAATCAAGGCGTTGACTTAGAGCGCAGACAATCAATGCGCCCGAGAAATGGCATTCAGGGCGCGTCCTGCTCGCTGCGGAAGATTTTCGGGAAATACGACCCTTCCCCTTCACCCTTCCCACCTACCCTCTGTCTTCACTATCTTACCCTCTCTTGTAACAGCTTTACCAAGACTTCTCTTAAATTTTCCATTTTTCCTCAAAAAGAAACGGGAGGTATACAGCCTCTCCCATCGACTCACTCCCCCCTCCTCCACTGGAATTCTCCCAGCGATGTGATGGTGCCTGCCTGAAACAAACAAATCAACTCATCAAAAAAAATTTTTCTCGCGACCAAATGAAGACCTCCCGCTTTTTCTAGCGACCAAGTACCACGGAGATTCTCCAACGTATGACGTGCCATGGTGGCATTATAGAGAGGAGGTAATCTCACATAACCCTAGCCTCAGTGAGAGAACGAATACAGGGGCAACGCCGAGTGATCTTCCCCTAAACTACGGTAAGCAGTGCGTGGATTAACTAATCCGGCAAAATAGCTCATAGACGAAAATCGTAACATTGGTAGCTTGACGACAGTTCAAAAATTCCCCTCCCACACCCCCCCCCCTCTTTCCACCATATCAAGCTGAACAGCGCCTACACAAGGTCTAGGCCGCATTACGTTAATTGGTATCTATTCTAAGAAAATCGGGAAATGCAACTCAATGTCTTCACAAAATGTGACTACTGCAGCTGAATGCCATTGACTTTTGTAACTTATCCAGTGCTGTGTCATAAAACCCGGCATTAACGACTCGGCATACATGCAATATTGACACTTTGCTGAATGGGAATTCCGCGCCGATCTCACGGCACTGAATGTCATTTCATACCTTATTTATTCTTTTATTAACTATCTATTTCAATGAACGCGATGTTGTGCCACGGTGACAGTACATAATCGCGGACCGGTCACCAAACCGCCTCTACAAAACATTATTGAACGAGTTTAAAAAAGAAAGTGTTGCTGCAAGAGAGCAAGAATGGGTGCATAAGGATTCCTCAATTCCTCCCACCTTTCGGGTTTAGCTGGGGTTTGATTTTTTTTTTACGAAAAGCACTAACAAGAAAAGGGTTTGACGTCTTCTAAATGTGTGAATCATCCAGCAAACGAAGAGATATCCTGATAGAAAAGTGTAGCGAGCAGGATAGCGGCAGGAGCGTCAAAGAGGTTGTATACGGACGAGAACCGTCGCCAGCCCCTACATTTACAGGCCAAGAAGGAATGTTTCACTAACAAAACACCTTTCAAATGGCATCTTGACGAAATGCAGGCTTTTACAAACTTTTTTGCTTGAAGACAAACTCAGCGATGCGTTCAATTACGAACCTATAGTCGCTAAGCGGCTCTTCAGAGGGCGAGAAAGGCCAAAAATCATGGAGAACACCTAAGTAAGGGGCGATCTAGCGGCCCCTCTGAACGAGTTCTTCAGATCTGTTCGTTCAATCCCAGCAAAGCGATATCTTGCCGCCTCTGGCTCACTTTTCTTCTCGTAGCAGTGGTAATACCTCCAACAATGACAAAAAAAACACGTTGTAAAAACCGAACATGTGATAGAAAACAGCCTTTGAGTTTTTGTGGGCGGTACATCCAGGAAGGCGTCAGAACTGTCACTCAGGGCCGCAGCACCTTTTTACTCACTGTGAAGGTGCTGCGGCCCCCATAAGCGGCAGTTCTGTCTCTTTGTCCACATTCATCGTAATCAATGGTTTAAACTAGCATACAAGATATTATTAACAAAGTAAGGAGAAGAAAACTCTAACGGCGCACCAAACATGAATTGAAACGATTCACATCAAATAAAGACTGAAAACGAGACGCTAAATAGACATATTGTTCAAGTACCTTGCCCCGTCGACTGCGATCCGTGCGGCCCGGTATACTGTAGTATAAGGGTTCAACCTCCCAAAGTCCGGCTTGAGCATTCCGATCCGGACTTCGACCAAGCTCCCCGTCTTCTGTCATCTAGAAACAGCAGTAAACTCAAACAGATCAAAAAACTGCTTAATAATAGCAACGCTATGATACGACTATGATTTGATAACAATTCAATAACTGCGGCAAGAAACGCGAAATTATGGTGATTTCAGAAGGTATATTCAAATTAAGCTTTTGAAATGAGCTGTGCGTTAATTACACCGCTGTTCTCGAGATACCCATCGGAATGTCGAGAAAAAAAAACGGCCGAAAATGGCTGGGCAAAAATAGGACGTGTGGTTAAAGCGAGCCCTTGAACTACCTAGAACACGAGTGAATTCAAAAAAGTAACAAGGGTGCGAGAAGAAAGAAAGAGAAAGAAAGATGAATAAATCCTGAAAATAAAAAACATAATGGGACTTTTCCAAGTGATCCGACGACGCGTTTGAAGTCAGTATGTGGCGGAGGCGGTTAGCACAATCATCGCTGCGCAGGCAGCACACACGCACTCAAAGGTCATTGCGGGCCATTGCTAGACCCACACCCGGGCCTTCGATGGCCCATATCCAAGACATGGGCCGGTGATCAAGCGCAAGTGAGCAAACGTCGAGACAGCGAAATGATACCATTCGGAAGCTCGGAATATTTCACGCTGACAAACATTTCAGCGTAATCGATAGAAACTTTGTGTCTATTTTGAATTACACACCAATCATGACTTAATTGTCAACGTTAGTTAGCGTACGAATCGTGCCACATGCACGAGAACTCGTTCACAAACTTCTCGCCGACTTTGCCGGTTGGAACACGATGTCACTTTTTTTACGGCTACCGTACCAAGGAACAAGGCGGGACCACCCCGCATACCCTCAGAATTCTCAGGTTTGTCCACGATGGTCACTAATTTAGTGAAAGGCTAAGCAATTGATCCACTCGGAAGTGACTTTTAGGAACAGGGCATCCTACCGCTCGAGAAAAGTACATTCCCTGCCTCCCTCCCCCTCCGCCGGTTCCCCCATCCCCATCCTGCCACATTTTCCGAAATTTCTCACAAATTTTCCGTTTTTTCCCCACAAATTTCGCCGGCAAAGTGGGGGAGAGGTAGCCACCAGCCAATAATTAATTTCAACTATCGAAAATGAAGATTGTATAGGGGTTCTTACAGTAGTTCTGAAGCGCCATCAGAGGGGGGGGGGGGGTAAAATAGGAGCAGTGAACCGACAAAAAAGTGAAAAGTGCTCAACAAACAACAAGAAGAATTTTTTACGATTTTGAGACGCGATGAACTCCCATTGAGAGCGAATACGCCCCTTCAAGTACCCCCGCCCCCCTCCCAACGACCAAATACAACCTTAAAACTCCGTTGGAACTTTCCTAAGTAAATAGGGCTCTTGAAACAGAAAAAATCAGCTATCAAAAATTTTCTCGGACCGAGCACGACCGTCCCTTCGTTCGGCAACCAAACACGACTCCCGCTGGGAATTCCCAAACATTGGATTCGCTTTTTAGGAATAACTACTTGAAAATTTCCAATAAATATACGAGTGTTCTCAACTGCGACGACATTAATGTCAATTCGCTTACTCACTCATATAATCGTTCGTTTTGAGTAGCGTAATTGAGACGCTGCCCTCACGACAAAGTAATTACAGGCGTATTAATTATTTAATTGGTGAGAGACACAACAGTGATGTTGGCCATTTGCCAATGGAATCATTTCATGCTCCTATCACGATTTTCTTCGTATACATCGAGGTAGACGGGGGTAAATATGGAGAGGCTTCAATGTATTATGTATAGAGGCGTTAATGCACTCGTTAACAAGGGAGTAATACGGCGAGCCGAAAGAGCTCGTTGGCCACTCGTATCTACACTTCACGGAAAACAGAGGTAGTCGGCTTAGAGGAAAGGGGAGGGAGAGAACACTGGTGGCTTTCAGCAGGTCAACTTTCAACAAAACTTTCAAAAAGCTCCCAACAGGACACTTCATACTGACTTGGCAACATTTCGACAAACTTAAGAGTGGTGTGAGCTTCACTTTGTGCTAAGTATTTCCACACAAGGCTAAAAGAGTCAAGAAATTAGAAGAAAAGGGCAAAAATAAACGTTTTTTGTGATAAATGTTTAATAGTTGCCCATCTTTCCTATATCTTCTGTTCATCCTATCTTTGATAGGAAGCCCAGCTTTGAGTAGGACGTGGCTATACAAAGGAAAAGGTTCACCCACCCAAAGCTCGCTCCTACTATGCTTACTGTTAGATGAAAACCCTCAGTTCTGCAGGTCAAACGTTTTCGAACTATCCGGCGCTAAAGCCGTCCAACATAAACAAAAAACAACAAAGAAATGCCGTGGAAATGGAACGTAGCACCTTGCAGCCAGCTTTATAAGAATTTACAGGGGCCAACACAAAAATAAAAATCGGTTTAAAATGTTTACAAGACACCGTTCTCTTCTCCCAAAAAAAACGTGGGTGAATGTATTGTCTGCAGAACTTCTTGGTATGGGAGTAGATACTAGTTGCAAAGATGAGTTAACTTCGATAGTATTACGCAGGTTAAAAATGAAGAAAGTGGGAAGTGCCATTCTGACAAGCGAACAATTTGGATCGATAGATCAAGCGAGAAAAGGGCGCTGGAGAACGGCCGAAAAACTTGTCCACCTAATTTCCAGTGTAGCTAGAACACGGCTCGTTTTCAAAGTAACGTCTGTGCCCATACGTGAAAGGAAAAAGTGGGTTAATCAGATGAGTAACCAGCACAACAAGTGTTTCCAATAGTGCAGTAGCGTAATGTTCAGGCGAGAATCAAAAAAAGTGGGTGGCAATGACACGCGTGGCGGGCAACTAATACTTGCACGGAAACACGTTTATATTTGAAGATGTAAAAAATAAAAAAAGATGGGAAAATAATGAACATCGACACCAACAGTGAGGAGATGAGAGAGAGAGCAAACACACTCACATACACAGGCAAGCAATCAAAGAGGACGCAGCACTGCACCACACGGACGGACGGACGGATACGCCACCGCCAATAGCAGAGACCGCCTTCCACAACAGAGCACACACACCACACAAAACGACAAACAAGAAGTGATTAGTCGGGTTTGGGGGGTTGTTCTTGGAGATAAGCACTACTAATAAATGTTCTCAGGCGGGAACGGACGAGAAAGGAGTAGGAAAAAACACCAGGGAAGGTTTTATGAAGAGTTAGGCAGGTTTCCAGTCAACATTAGCCACGTGTTGGCGGAATTTTTCAAAAAACCACAGTACTTAGTTTCGTTGCAGGACCACTGACCGCGTACTTCTGGCACATTTCCGAGCATCTGAATGGCCTATTTTTTCAGTTCTGTTCATTTGGAAAAGTGGTAGACATTTGTTGGAAAAACTATGAAGATAACTTGGATAAGATGTTTCTTCCCTAGTTATTGCAACGAAACTAGATACTGCAACTTTTGAAAGATTCCGCCGTGGCCTACCGGCAAGGAAGGGAAATAGGGAAGACAGAAGGAAGAAAAGAAATGAAGTAGGAAGGGAGAAGAAAAGGAGGAAGGAGGCTTTGCGATCAAGTCGCGCCGCATCCTCGGGGTCTCCAAAGAGGGGTCGTACTTGGTTGGAAGGGGGAGGGGAGGGAGGAGGAGTACTTCTCATTCTTGGGATTAATGATATCGACTTTTGACAGTTCTCGGTGTTTTGCGTTTTACGTGCGCTATAGACTCCCGCAAGAGAAGAGATATGGAAAAAAAAACTCAGGAAAGCTGGAGGAATATGGGAAGTTCGTAAGTAGTATGCGAATTGGGAAAGGTGCGGGACGTTCTGCGGGAGGGGGTCGTATTTCGTAATCTCTCCCCAACGGCAGGCCCTTTCACAGCTGACATATATCATGAAACGTCGTTACACGATGCATACGATTAACGACATGCAAAAGAATGCAACAATGCACAAAAGCGTAACGTCACAGGCGTTCGCTTTAGGACCCTCAACACTGCCAAGTGACGGTAGTCTTTTATGGGGGCCACCCAGTAAAGTTCTGCAAAAATACAGGGTCGTTTCGATGCAAACCTTTAGAGTCGTGCAAAGCCATGAAATGTTACACTTTTGATTTTAACGCCAATTTTTTTTTATTTTTGCATTTCGCTATACAAAACCTTCGCATTCGTGAGAGGAGTTCGCCTACTTTGGAGTCCTAGGCGTAGTTATGGGTATTTGGGGGGAGGGGTACCACCGCCGTCCATTTTCATCATTCAAAGTTCATTATTTATTACTCGGTGCTAACTTAGGATGGGGGGGGGGAGAACCAATCGGCGGCACCATGTATTCTTTTCTGAAAAAGACTCAGGCTTAGAGTATAGACGATTAGAGTCGCCGAAGAGTAATCTTGCAGAGAAGACATAGTATCCGTATCCTCCAACCATAAGCCAAACCCTTGATTGGGGGGGGGATATGAGGCGCTACGAGTGATCACTCCCCCCCCAAACCATGTTAGCGCTTACTACTCCTTCAATATCACCTACAATGACATTCCTTTATCAATGACCCCTAAAACTTGATATAGAAGTGAATTCTCTCGATTGTCGTATTTTCGAGATAAGATCGTGAAATAAACGACAGAGGACGTAGGCTGCCATGACCTGATTGATTTGACGCTAAAGTATTTTATCGAGTCAACTAGCTGGGAATTCTCACTAGTTTGACCGCGATAATGGCTTCGTATGTCTTGAACAACACCTGAAGTATTTACAAGACTTATGCAAGTTATCCTATCACCTTGCAGTGTACACTGGGCTGCAAAAACCACTGAAGATCCTTTCGATTATTCCGGTTTGTTAGCGCTAAGACTTCAACGTCGTCTTTATGACTTCTAGTCAACTACTTGGAAGAATTAGAAAAGAGCATTTGAGTCGAGCGAAAAGCGTCGAAGATTAGCGATTTAGCCCCCGAAGATGGACTAGAGAGCGGCTGGGTCGCGGAAATCATCATGCGACCCGCGCTGACCTCTCAGTTGTTTGAGTGGTTACGAGCATGTTCATTAAGGAACGCGATAGAAAG